CATGGAAGAGAGAGGGAAAGACAGAAAGAAACATCAATGTGAGAGGGACACTTCGATTGGTTGCCTCCTGCATGAGCCCTGACCTGGGCCCGGACAGGGAGGAGCCTGCAACCTAGGTACATGCCCTTGACCAGAATCGAACCCAGACCCTGTGGTTGGCAGGCCGAGGCTCTATCCACTGAGCCAAACCGGCTAGGGCAGGATATGACATTTCTTAGACCCTCCAGCAGCGGACCTGTGTTTTTTCCTCCAGGAGTGAGGTGAAAAAACACTAGATCACTTTCTTGGATTCTTATTAGGCAAGTTACCAAGAACACTGTGAGTGCCGTACCAGGAGCTTAGCCAATGAGCGGTCAGAAAAGGTGTTACCTCTGCAGCTCACGTGCAGAGGCGGGACTGCTGGCGAGGGCCTGCCCTCAGCCACAGCGGCTGCAGGCGAGCCTGCCCTCTCCTCTCTGGGCCTGCCCTCAGCCGTGGCAGCTTGGGCAGGCCCCCCTGTCTCTGCTCCATCTCCACTCTGGGCCTCACCTGTGCGTGCAGCCTCCTCCTGACCAGTTGTGACTGTTATGGTGTCCCGGCTAATTTGCATATTGCCTCTTTATATAGAGAGATTATTGGACTTTAAGAGCAAATAGGAAATGTGATTTTCATATGCTGATTTCAAATCTGTTCAAACTTCTCAATTTTCTTTTTCAACCCCACACAGCCTCCTCCTGACCGGTCGTGACAGTTACAGTGTCCCAGATAATTTGCATATTGCCTCTTTATATATATAGATTATTGGACTTTAAGAGCAAATATGAAATGTGATTTTCATATGCTGATTTCAAATCTGTTCAAACTTCTCAATTTTCTTTTTCAACCCTAATAGTTTTAAGTAGTTATCTTGAACTTCTTGGTATAATTTTTATTGTAGCTTCATGAATATCTGAGCTGACGGCTTGATAATTATTGTAAAGGACTAGTGGGAGAGGGAAAAGAGAGAACAAAAAGTGGTAACCAATCCAGTTATGTCTCCTTGTCCTCCCCAGGTGGCTTAGTTTACCTAAGTAAGGGATATTACAAGGAGACAGTGCACAGAGTAACTAGCACCAATACGTAGAAATAAGATTCAAGCTGAACTATGATAAACAAGAAAGGACTAAGCTAATGAGAGGCCTTCCCACCTTCTCCCTTAAAAGCATTTTTTTTATAGTTATTGCTGACCTTCCTACAGAACATCTTGTACCACAGAATAATGTAATGCTCACTGAGTCACAGGACCTGACCTACGGACTCATAGGACCATATTCTAAAATCCTGATTGACATCATAGTCTCACAGGAAAAAGAACACCAGCAGGAAAGGAGATTCGGAAGGCCCTGAGGAAAGGCGGGATTGAACCTAATACTTCCCTCCGTCACCTGAAAATGGGAATTACAATGAAAGTGGCAAAATTGATGATCTTGGAGAGGTGAATGCATGGGTTCTGATCAGATTTAAGGAATTTCGCTCTATGACAATTACATCTAGAAATCACTTCAATGTATATTTTAGAAAACCATCATTGCTAAGAACTGATGGATCGAAGAGAAGTTTCTGTTCATCATTTATTCAGACTCTGGACAAACACCAAAATCACTTAGCTGAGCCCTAACCGGTTTGGCTCAGTGGATAGAGCATCAGCCTGCGGACTCAAGGGTCCCAGGTTCGATTCCAGTCAAGGGCATGTACCTTGGTTGTGGGCACATCCCCAGTAGGGAGTGTGCAGGAGGCAGTTGATCGATGTTTCTCTCTCATCGATGTTTCTAACTCTCTATCCCTCTCCCTTCCTCTCTGTAAAAAATCAATAAAATATATAAAAATAAAAATCACTCAGCTGAGTAAAACAAGTTGATTTTCTCAGTCAACTCTGCTACACAAACCACAAGCAGCATTTGGTTTTCCTCTCTGGCCCGAGATGCCAACACCCAGACCTTGGCTTCTTTTACAGGACAGGCCTCATTCCCTAGAAATAGGCCAAAAAGACTCTCACCCTCTGATAGACTATAAGAACTTCTCATTTCCAAGAGAAATCGAATCCTTACTATCCCTAAGTGTTTTTCTGAAGGGCCCTAAACACACAGAGCCTTCTGTTTGTAGCTCATCCTCCTCCCTAGCACACACAAGAACATATCTCTGTATTTAAAATGACTTTATTGTAGCTTTGAAAGTAGCAAGCCTTTATTCTCTTGTGGATGCTTCGCCTTTCAACCCTCTTGGGTATCTTTCTTTATGTGAAAAGCAGTTAATTTTCCTTCTCCAAAGTCTCCACGGCAGAAATCTCCACTTAGTATTAACTATCAATTAGCAAAGCATGGAGCCTGCCTGTGTATGAATGTGTGTGAATGTACGAGGGTGTATACTGTGCACACGCCTGTGAGCGCACAGACATTTAGGCAAACAAGTAGGCACACTGCTTATAGAAAATAAGTAGTTTCAATAATTAACATATATATTTATCCTTAAAATAATGTATAGTTGCATATAAATTTAAATATGTGCTTTTCTATATATACATGCCATAGTTTATAAAATTTATCTTCACTTTAACTTTTATATCTATAAGATTTCTAACAGTTTAATATATTATGGCTCCTTTTCTAGGATTGAAAACACCTAAAAATGTATTTTCCTCTCTAGTAAAAGCCCTGAATTATGAACTGTTCATCTTTTTTCACTGAAATTGACCAGAATTCTCCCTCCAAATACTAGTATTTTAGAATTTAAGCATTTGGAAGTGGAAGCAATTGTAACAGAGAAATCAACTACCAATTCTATGTGTAGATAACCTTGGCTTCACTTTACAAAATCCTCTAAGAATCTGTATTTCATTTAAATTGCTCAAAATCCCAGAAAGTCCATGTAGGAGCTTTAAATTTGGCAAAGCATCTCCTGTGCAGGCCAGTCTAGTACTAGGGTGCTCAATATTTTGTCAAGTGAAAACAACATTTCACAGAAATGCAAAGACATATTTACATACATGTGCATGGAGAATCTGAAAAGATAGATAGCAATATGTTATGTGTGATTATGTTTGGGAGGAGTTAGGTAACTTTTCCTACTGATCTGCTTTTTCCATTTATCCCTCTAAGAACATCCCTCCTATTGTTTGTGTAACAAATCTACTGAATGAAAAAAAAAAAGAAGTCTATTCTGATAATGATTCCATAAATGTCAAGATGCACAATGAAACCATTTATAAAACATGTATACCAAGGAGCAGACCTATCAAAATCTAATATGACTCAAATAAAACATACGTGATGAATTCTGGGGGCTCAGTCAGTGAAAAGCACCTTGGCCACCAAGACCTGTGCGAAGACCCAGCGTGGGCGGAGGAAGTGGAATGGGCAACCCTCCCAGAAGGCAAGGTAGTGAGATTCTGTGTGCATGATGGACTGTGACTGCCTGGTCTCGATATAAACTCATTCAGCAGCACACACGCCATTGTCCATGTCAAGGTAACAGAAGGAGTAATGTAACGCATGAAATCTCTTGTCCCCATATAGGACCTTGCTATGGGGCCTGGAAGGATCTTATATACTTCCTGATAATTCTGAATGATGCTGACACGTATCTACCTTCCTGGAAACCAGAGCAGAAGTCAATGGACATCTTCAAAAGGCTCCACAGAATCAAAGAATCTAAAATGCCCAGACTCAAGTGTGTTCCATCCAGCATGGCTCTTGTTCCCCTCTCTTTATATATACAGTTCATGAAATGCAAAGGTTACAAGCAAAAATCTAGGCTACAGGGAGCGTAATATCTACCTCTGGACCAGACTCTTGAGAAAAACCTCACATCACTGTCCCCAGATCTTTCTTGTACTGTGGGGGTGTAAGGTGTTAACAGTGGATAATATTGGTTTATTCTTATTCAGAATACAATAGTCCCTAGGCAAGATGACCTACGTAAACACGCTAAATGTCATCACTTGTCACATGTTAAACCCCACGCATCCCATAAAGACATTTCAACAGCACGTGGTGGTAGGATATATGTGATGTCTCCCCAACCCTCTGAGGAAAGTGCCATACTCAGCTTTTAGTGCCTGTGTATTCTCGGGCTGCAGCTGGCCATCTGAGAAAGCCTCTCCACACCTGTCTACCAGACCTGTGCCGAGAGCTCTGCTTCCACCTGGGCAGACCCCACACTTACAGCCATAAATGCATTGGCACTGAGAAAGACTGCTGAGGATGCGGCTCTCCAGGTGTGGCTTTATTTGTCACTTCACCAGGTCAGCTATTTAGGCCTAGTCTTCTCCATTGGCTTGAAGCTTTGTTCACACCATCTTGGGTAACACATCACATTATTCGTCCTTATAAAAACAAATAAACTCAAATAAGCATTGAGAGTCAGTTCACCCTTCCGAGCACCTCTGCCTTCCCCTCTCGTGTGCCTGACACACTTTCCATCCCTCCCTTCCGAGAGACTCCCATACTTTCAACGGAGGAGCAGCCAGATGCCTTGCTTCATTCCTTGGGGTTCCTGCCTGCCTGAACCTTGCTGATGTGCACAGCTCAGAGGACCTCAGCCTGCAGGCTCGCCACTGAGTCACTGGGAACACAGCACTGCGGTCCCTAGCACGACCCACCATCAGCTGCTGCCACTGAGTCAAGTCCTGTGCTCTTCACTGCCCACCCTACAGAGAAACTGGGCCACCCCATGAGGCTGGACCAAAAGGAGAAAAATGTTTTCCTACTTATAATGGCTCCCCCTCTGAACCAGTGCATCGGAAATTCACACAGTTCTGGAGAATGAGGTGTTGGATACTTTAGTTCCTAGCCGACTCTGCTCATAGCAGCTGGCTTCTAAAATAACCAGTTATTCTAAAAGAACTCCAACCAATCCACTTAAGTGCAATGCAGCGCGCAATGGTCGAAAATAAAAAGTTATAGTTCAGCAAGACATCACCTGTGTCATAACTCGGTGTGGAAGGAAGGGGCATGAGGAATCATCAGGCCTCCTGAAGAACACGGCCAGGGAAGCTGGCTCCCTAAACTCCTGGAGTTGCGTTTTCCATTCTCCCACCCGCCCGCAAGGGTGGACCTTGTCTATTTCAGGCACCACTGCTTCAGGCCATGGTCCCTTGCAGTAAATTGACAGCCTGCTCATTGACAAGCACGTTGGGCAACACGCAGAGAGACTTTGCAGAAACAGAGTTAGAGTTAGAGCTAACACGCAGACAGGCAGGAAACATGGAATGCCTCATCAGAACAGAGAATTGCCGTCTTTCACGGATTGCACAACATTTGACACATACGTCTGCATTGACGTATATCATAGGAGTTTTTTGTTGTTGTTGTTATAATCTGTTTATTTGGTGGTTGAGCCCGAGAACCTTATATAACACATCCCTGTCTCAAAGGTAGCAACATGCACGGCACTGCACTCAGTTACAATCCAGACTCCCCAGAGCAGGTCCCATTAGCCACCTGGAATCATTTCACGGGGCCAGCTTTCTATATAATTGATTAAAAATAAACAACGGCCACTAGCAACAGTGAAAGAAATACTCAGTAATCAGCTTTACCCTACAATCAAAAGCTAGCATTCCGATGGTATGATTTTAGGGATTTCAGAAAAGCATTTCCCTCCTGATTTTAATAGATTGCATGAGCCTGACCTGTGGAGGGAAAGGAGCCCAGTTTTCTAAGCCAAAACACACGTGAGCATCCGTGGGTCTTTCAGGGTAGAGCACAGGAACACTACCCTCTGCCTCCGCGCTGGGTGTAGTACGACTCCAACCTTGCATCTGATTTCCTTAACAAAGAAGCAGCAGATCTGCACCACTTGTTTGGCCAGAAAGCACACAATACAGCTACCGCTGAGGAACTTCCATTCATGCTTGCTCAATAAACAATGTGGATGACATAATGAATGAGCCTTTCCTATGAACCCTGCTATTGGAAAACATAGGCACTTTCCGCAGAGTTTAAGCCCGTCTACAGGAGCAGTTACCCCTGGTGAGATCAGATGTGGACCAAGAAATACACAAATCCCAACAGCTTACACTCTTAGGAGCCTTTGCTATCACCCTAAGTTCTTTTCTGCCTGAGAAGGAATTATATAATGAAGAATCATTTCCGTCAACTCTAAACTATAGAGAACATTGACAGCGCAGCCAGCAAGAACCCGAAAGATGTGAGCTTTCAGCTCCATGTTCCCTGCGTTGCCTAAGAAATGGGGGAGGGGGGAGTTCAGTGGGAGGAGGAAGAGGAGGGGAGAGGGAATCAGCTATCTATGAAAATACTTACAGCCTCCGAGTCTTCAATGCCATGCAGGTACAAATTGTCATACATGGAGGTCTGCTAATCCAGAGCACCTCTTTCAAGGCAAAAACAAAACTGCCACAGAAGCCACAGCTAGAGCTAAAAGATAGAAAAGGCCTGGGTGAAGGACTGCGCCTGCCTTATCAATTCCTGTGGCTTTACCAGGCAAGATGCTATTCATTCACATCACACGGGGTGAGCTTATCCCCAGAGGCAGTTCAGACCTGGCATTTTATCTGCCTTCCCAATACAGAGCATAGAAAAGCAAAACCCTTCCTCAACCACAGACTGGTGACTGAGCTAGGAAAGCGGCCTCTGATTGGCTCGGCTCGCCTGCTTCAGTCAGCTGAAGAGCGTTCCCTGGGAGAGTGGAGGGTGACTGGAGCATCCTCCCCAGCAAAGAGCTGCTTCCTGTTTCGCCTGCACTGTGTGGCTCTGCAACGCACACTTTTCAATATCGAAAAGGCTGCGTGGAATGTTTGGAAAGGCGGACTATTGGGTACTCTGAACACAACTGCTCATCTTCTTAATTAAATTCACAATTGGAGGGAGGTAGGGGAGCAAAGGAGAGATTTTATTTCCAGAGAATATTGTGTAAAGACAGGCAAACAGATACTAATCTCCATGCAACATCTGTACTTAACAGATGCAATTTCAGTCAAACGGGCAATAAATCACTTAAAATTTTTAAAAAAGCAACAAGGTAAAAAAAAAAAAAGGATAAACAGATGGTAAGATTTCTTGTGGGACTTTCAACTGTAAAAGTTTTCAATATTCTCACTGAAAGTTTTCAATATTCTCTGCCTCACTGGCAAGAAAATACCTCTGTAACCCAACCAGTGAAGTTTGAAAAAAGAAGCCAAAAGCTCTCAAAAGTCTTTATTTAGATGCAAAAATTTTAATGTCTCTTTAGTTTAATTTTTTTTAACCATCTTTAAGTAACAGCCAATATTTTAGCGTAAGTCTTTCATCCTCTTTCCAATGTTTAGTCCTTTAATCCTCCTCAAACAGCATTGATCTTTCCCCAAAAACCCAAACAGAGAAGTTCCCCTCCCTCCCTCCACTCCCACCACACCGCAGCCAAGTTTGACCCAGGACAGGTCCCACACTAGAGCTCACCTACATACTTAAAGCTTTCTGGTCAACCAATAAGGTACTGTAGCTTTGAAACAGGAGAGCTCTAGAGCTCACTCTAGAACAGTGGTTCTCAACCTTGGCTGCACATTAGAATAACCTGGGAATCTTTTTGAAATCCTGATTTCTGGGCCTCACCATCCGGAAATTCTGTTTCTTTGTTATGGGGTGGGGCCACAACATTAGTAACAAAGAAACAGAATTTCTGGAGGATGAGGCCCAGAAATCAGGATTTTAAAAAGATTCCCAGGTGATTCTAATGTGCAGCCAAGGTTGAGAACCACTGCTCTAGAAAAAGCCAGCAACATTTGGCAAAAAGAAGTTGGTGAGGGGCAAAGAACACAATCTAGAGCAGCTGAATGACTGATTGGGGTAAGCAATGACCCAGAAACTCAGAGGCTCTGAGTGCAGAATCAGCTTCACCACTGATTGGTCGGATGACTCTGGACCAATCACCACATTAAGGACTTTAGTTTCTTCACCTGCCAAATTGAGGTTAGATGTAACTCAGAGAAAGAACTTTGCAAATCTAAAGTGCAACATAAACACTTATCTACGACAACCCTGCTTTGTCAGCTGGAAGGCTTTGGCTGTCGTTCATGGGAGCTCAGCACAGGAGTAGCTGGCTGGCCCTGGACCTAGAAAATGAGGCCTGTCCTCCCAGCCGCTATCTCTGAAAAGCCTCACTCTTAAAGAAACAAACCTGAGTCACAAAAAGCCATACCTGAGCTACAACTGTTGAGTAGAGCACAGGTCTTCCAGGTCTGCACTGACTAGTAATGTCTTTCGATCACAGTTGTACACCTTGGGAACGGCACTCATACTTAGTCACTTTCAAATATAAACAATGACAAGGGGACTCATCTGTTCTTCAGAACCCCCAAATGGTAGGGTTCATAGAGGATGCCATCTGTGCCTACACAGAGGGAGAATGGCAGAAGAGAATGGGTACAATAGGCAGGACACCATAGAAGAAAGCCCAGTGCCAGCTCTACCTGTTGACAACTCTGTGTCCTGGAGGAAGTCACCTACCAGGTTGATCCTCAACTCTCCCCTCCATAAACCAAGAGGACTGGGCCAAAGGATTTGTAAGTTCAAATCCCTGTATCTGATTCTGTCATTTTAATTAACTCTATAACTATATAGCCTTGTGATATTTTAGCCAGAATCTACAGAAAATTGAGGCAAGAAGGTCTTTTTTTCTCCTTAGATTTTCTAGATAATTTCTTTACCGCCTTAATTGAGAGTATAGATATTTCCTGAGTATCTTTAAATAGAAATCTAAATTAGGGTGGGGGAGAGAGGCTGTCCACTTCCATAATTCACCCAGATGAGAGAAACTGCTCCCTACTGGGAAAACTGTCCATGACTCAAGTCCTCTCCTGAATTTCCCTGCCTCAAAGTGTTCCCTACAGCTAATGTGAGGGTCTAAAAGGAAGTTGTTAAAGAATAGGGCTCATTTTGTGATAGACGAATGCATGCAGTAAGCGAGTCTGACTCAGGGTGGGATGTCAGGAAGAAGGTACTTGATCAAGCACTGCAGCCTGTGGTTACTCCCTGCAGCCCTACATCCAACCCCTCAAGCACTAAGAACAGATGTGAAGCAGGGGCGGGCTGGCTCTACCTGCTCCCCAGAAGCTTAGAAAAATGCTGGACTCAGAATCACAAATTGTCAGAGGCAGGAGAACCCCAGAGTTACCTAATCCAGCCCTCATTTTAATACCCAGAATGGTTACATTGCTGTATTCAAAGCCATAATTTTCTACAGTTGAGTGTTCCTTCCCACTCCCTTCTTGATGGGGTTTTCAAGATAAGGGAGGAGAAGCAGTGGTCCTGTTCCCAGGAGGAATTTGGTAAAACAGGAGAAAGTCACTTTGGTGGGTAAAAAATAAAAAACTTTTTTAAAACCTCTCCTTTCATTCTAAAAATTGTCTAATCACAAGTCATTTGGTCATCCACAAGCTGACAACTGAAAATCAACTCACAGATTGAGGAGTCTGACCCTAGAGTTTGGATCTACACAGAATAAGCACTGCACCTGCAAGTCACCTAAAGATTTCAAATCCTTACTCAGGCTGATCCCAGAGGAACCCTAGTGAGAGACTCACACTGGATTCCCCAGTGGAACTCTGAGGAGTTCCTAGAAAAATGAACTCAAAACTCCAGGAGGATATTGGACTTGACCATCTCGGTCCTAAGATTCTCTGAACTAAGAGCTGGCCGAGAAGTAGTGAGAGACCCTGGGAGCTTTCTGGGCCTGTTTCAGATCACAAGCCACCAGCTTTGGGTCAAAGGGCCTTGGGATCCCAGCAGGTCTAAGTTCCAAGGGTCCACTTTCAGGAGTATCATACTTAACTGCAGCAAGAGGTGAAAAGTAACCAGGGGACTGGCAGCCTCTTAGTTTGACTTCTAAGAGTCCTCCAGTTAAGTAATTGGTTGAGAGGATGGCCCACTTCGCCTACCTGAGGTTACAATGAGAACAATAAGGTGAACACCTTATTGCTCACTGTGTGTTGGTGTTTGCCACTAACCCCCTGTCTCTCATGCCTGATGAGCCTCCAAAATCACACATAGCCCCGAAAAGGCTGCCTCCCATTTCGAGACTGCTTGATGACTACGCTTCTCACCCACTTCCTTCCAAGTCATCTCTCATGATGATCAACAGTGCAAAGTCAAACAAGACCTATGACAGGGGATGGCCTGTATGATTCTGTCATAAATTCCACATGATTTCTGGTGGGGAGGTTGTTCTTGCAAGCTGACAAATGCCTCAACTGAGCTCAGTTCAGCACAGGAAATGGTATGGTTCTCAACAAATCAGGAAAGCTCTCTTCTGTATCTCAGTGGAACGCTACTTTGAGTTAGTTTTTGTTGGTTTCAAACCTAAGGACATGGAGTTCCTCTCCCTTACCTGGGCTGGGCTTTATAGTACAGCAAACACGTGGGATTGACAGTGGAATGTAAAGGACAAGCCTATCTCTTTTCTATTTGTTTGGAAAGGGTGAGAAGAGGAAGAGAAAAGCCAAGAGTGAGCTCTGAGTTTTAGACAGCCATGATCAAGACAACCGGTATAGACTTGGAAGCTAAAAGAAATGTTGCTATCCAATTTTCCACCCAGGTTTTTCCTGAATGTAACTCTTCTAGGCCAGTGTAGTTCTATGTTCTACAGTAGGACTCTGAGAGGTCAGGGAAGAAACAAAAGGGATCGGGTTTGGACTCTCATTGGCTCTATGAATTAGAACACAAGCCCAAAGCCTCTACTTGCCAATTCAGCTATGGGCACTACTTTGCTTTTTGTTATTGTTTGAATTTTGTGAAGTGACCACAGTGTGCTACATTATTTTCTCCCTCTTTGGCTCTGTAAGAGCTAATCCACTCACTCCTTTGCCTCTAGAAAGCATGAATATTGTAACCTGCTTCCTTCCTGCTGCGCCGGAGGCAGGGCAGACAAAGGAATGAAAACAAAACAGAACAAAGCAGTACAGACAATTGATTCCCCTTTTAGTAGTCCTCCGAGTTGGAATTTAAACCTCACTACCTAGGCAGGCCTGTCCTTGATTCTCTCTGGGCCTCATCTGTAACATGGAAATAATATTAGCTCTGGAAGCAATGAGTTAATAAATGAAATGTACATAGAAATTTCCTGGTACTTAGAAAGCAGAGAGAAGAATCAGCACTTTTTAAAGGGAAGTAGTATGGAATCAGGACCGCCTACATCACCCAGCTCCAAGGACCCACACACACTGCAATTTGTGTGAATGGTATTCCTGGGGCAGTGTAACAGGAATACTATGCAGCAGGATGGTTAAGAGCAGGGGATCTGGAGCCAGACTGCCCACAAATCCCTGTTGTGTCACTTCCCAGCTGGATAACCCTTGGCAAGCAACCCTGCCTTCATTTCCTTATTTATAAAATGAGGACTAGCCCAAGATTATTGTGCAGATGAAAAGCCTTGATAAAAGAAAGTGCTCAGAACGGTGCCTGGCACAAGCTCAATGCTGCACAGCATCAGTTGCTTCTTATCTTTGGGTCTGGCCTGAAGCCCTGGTACCTTTTGCCTTTGAGGTAGATTCCTAGTACTTGCCCCTGATATTGGCCTGGTCCTCTCAATCCCCACCTGGGACCCAGTCTCAGCTAGCAGAGCTGAGACCAGCATCCTGCCTCCTGTTGCCCTACTTAGCTCCGTGCCA